TGACAGTGTATATGACAGTGTATATGACATATGACAGTGTATATGACTGTGTATATGACATATGACAGTGTATATGACAGTGTATATGACATATGACAGTGTATATGACAGTGTATATGACAGTGTATATGACAGTGTATATGACATATGACAGTGTATATGACAGTGTATATGACAGTGTATATGACATATGACAGTGTATATGACATATGATAGTGTATATGACAGTGTAGTGTATATGACAGTGTATATGACATATGACAGTGTATATGACAGTGTATATGACATATGACAGTGTATATGACAGTGTATATGACAGTGTATATGACATATGACAGTGTATATGACAGTGTATATGACAGTGTATATGACAGTGTATATGACAGTGTATATGACATATTACAGTGTATATGACAGTGTATATGACAGTGTATATGACATATTACAGTGTATATGACAGTGTATATGACAGTGTATATGGCATATGACAGTGTATATGACATATGACAGTGTATATGACATATGACAGTGTATATGACAGTGTATAAACTGCTGCAGTTCCTATACATGAGTCTAATTGTGCGTGTATATATAACAACCAGGTATACAGTGTGTGTGTATATATAACAACCAGGTATACAGTGTGTGTGTATATATAACAACCAGGTATACAGTGTGTGTGTATATATAACAACCAGGTATACAGTGTGCGTATATATATAACAAGCAGGTATACAGTGTGCGTATATATATAACAAGCAGGTATACAGTGTGCGTATATATATAACAAGCAGGTATACAGTGTGCGTATATATATAACAACCAGGTATACAATGTGTGTGTATATATATAACAACCAGGTATACAGTGTGTGTGTATATACCAACCAGGTGTACATCCCCAGGCTGTCCCAGAGGTTCCCTCTCAAGTGCATGGCTCCCATAGACTTTGAGTTCAACATCAAATACCTACAGCCTCACCCTGCCTTTTTGGTGGAGCCACTCAATGGTCAGTCCGTCTGTCTGTCTGTTTGTCTGTCTGTCTGTCTGTCTGTTTCTGTCTGTGTGTCTGTCTGTCTGTATGTATTTCTGTCTGTGTGTCTGTTCTGTCTGTCTGTCAGTGTTTCTTTCTGTCTGCCTGTGTGTCTGTGTGTCTATCTGTCTGTGTGTCTGTCTGTCTGTCTGTCTGTCTGTCTGTCTGTCTGTCTGTCTGTCTGTCTGTCTATCTGTCTATCTGTCTGCCTGTCTGTGTGTCTGTGTGTCTGTCTGTCTGTGTCAGATGGTCATGGAGGAATCAACCGACGTCAAGATGTGGCCACAGGAATCGTCAAGTGTCCTCTCAATGCCACAGTGTTGTCTGTTTGTCATATTTTAACGACAGTTTTGTGAGTCAGTGTGATACGTTTGTGAGTCAGTGTGACACGTTTGTGAGTCAGTGTGACACATTTGTGAGTCAGTGTGACACATTTGTGAGTCAGTGTGACACATTTGTGAGTCAGTGTGACACATTTGTGAGTCAGTGTGACACATTTGTGAGTCAGTGTGACACGACACATTTGTGAGTCAGTGTGACACATTTGTGAGTCAGTGTGACATGACACATTTGTGAGTCAGTGTGACATGACACATTTGTGAGTCAGTGTGACACATTTGTGAGTCAGTGTGACATGACACATTTGTGAGTCAGTGTGACACATTTGTGAGTCAGTGTGACATGACACATTTGTGAGTCAGTGTGACATGACACATTTGTGAGTCAGCGTGACACATTTGTGAGTCAGCGTGACACATTTTTGAGTCAGTGTGACACATTTGTGAGTCAGTGTGACACATTTGTAAGTCAGTGTGACACATTTGTGAGTCAGTGTGAAACATTTGTGAGTCAGTGTGACACGACACATTTGTGAGTCAGTGTGACATGACACATTTGTGAGTCAGTGTGACACATTTGTGAGTCAGTGTGACACATTTGTGAGTCAGTGTGACACATTTGTGAGTCAGTGTGACACATTTGTGAGTCAGTTTGACACATTTGTGAGTCAGTGTGACATGACACATTTGTGAGTCAGTGTGACATGATACATTTGTGAGTCAGTGTGACACATTTGTGAGTCAGTGTGACATGACACATTTGTGAGTCAGTGTGACACATTTGTGAGTCAGTGTGACACATTTGTGAGTCAGTGTGACACATTTGTGAGTCAGTGTGACACATTTGTGAGTCAGTGTGACACATTTGTGAGTCAGTGTGACATGATACATTTGTGAGTCAGTGTGACACATTTGTGAGTCAGTGTGACACATTTGTGAGTCAGTGTGACATGACACATTTGTGAGTCAGTGTGACACCTGTTGTTTCCATTCCACCAACAAAAGTGGCTCTGTCATGTAGAGTTGTACTGAGAAGCGTGGGTGGAGGGAACTATCTAGACCTCCACTATCCAAGGACTCTCCAGCTTTGGAAGTCAGGAAAGTTTGGCGGCCATGTTCTCTCCAAGGTCACCCCTGACCCCCGGCTACCCGCGTCCTTGAGCGGCAAATGTTTCCACTTCTCTTTGTCACTGGTGACAATAGCAAGAATAATAACAATGATAACAATAGTAACAGTTATAAAAGTCACCATAGATTGATTGAAACAGGAACATTTGTAAACAAATTATGATCATGAAAATAAAGATAGATCTGATCATAAAAATAAGAAAGGAAAATTGTTAATCACAATGCAACAATAACCATAAAAATCATAATTATGATAATGATATTCATAATAATTGTTATGTTTATAAAAATAATGATGATATTAACAATTATAATAATCATAATCATAATAATAATGATGATGTTAACAATTATAATAATCATAATCATAATAATAATGATGATAGTGATAATACTAATATTAATATAACAATAACAATGTTATTGTAATAACAACAGCAACAAGAAGAAAAATAATATAATAACAATTACAATTATATAATTAATTATAATTATAATAATAATAGTAATAATAATAATAATAATAGTAATAATAATAATAATAATAAATTATAATAATAATAAATCTAAAAAAATATTATTAATGATTGGTCTTCAACAAAAAAAATAAAAATAAGATAAGATAACATAAGATAACATAAGATAACATAAGATAACATAATACTTTATTATCCAAGAGGGAAATTTTTCTTGGCTCTACAGGACCGTAAAAACACAGGCAGGTATACGTATACATAAAAAAAATTAAATGATATCGTCGGCCTTGTGATAAAACCGGCTAACCCCAGCGAGGTAAATTTTACAGGAGAAGGAAAAAACTGTTTTATTTCAAAACAAAGGCGTCTAACGATAAATCAATGCTTTAAACACCTATAAAAACACTTTACCGAAAATCTGTAGACCTTTTTTTCCTTTAAAAATTGCTTTTAATGAAACTGTGTGGGTTAGACGGTTATGTCGCTCAAATTTTCCTGGATAAAACCGACCAACCCTCAATTTTGTGGGTTGACCGGTTTTATCAGGAAGCCACTGCTGGCTTTGAGTTTGGTTGAGTGCAGCCAAGCCACACTTGACGGTAACGTATTTGATCACTTGCTTCAATCGTCAAGATCTTTTGTAGAAGAAGAAGAAGAAGAAGGAGGAGGAGGAGGAGGAGGAGGAGGAGGAGGATGAGGAGGAGGAGGAGGAGGAGAAAAAAGAAGGAGGAGGAGGAGTAAGAAGAAGAAGAAGGAAGAGGAGGAGGGCTATATTATTGCTACCAACATACTATCAGCTGCTGCCGTTTCTTCAGTGCTACGGAGTCAATTCGGGCAAAAACAGCAGTCACAAAGTTGAACCTTTAATAGAAGTAGAAGAAGCAGAACACAGCAATGGGTATATTAATTACATTCAAAGTAGAAGAACAGGAGGTTGGAAGGGTAAGGGAGAGCAGCTACAGCAACAACTACAAAAAAAACAACTATAACAACAACTTACAACAACAGTAGTAGCAGCAGTAGCAGCAGGCCTTTAGAATTTATGACAGTGTCCGACACGGTACTATTGGCACTGGGTGGCCATTCAAAGGCCTGGAAAAAAGTAATACTAAGAAAGAAATGAAAGCAGAAAGCCACACAGAAGCTCTGTTACCTCAGCAATGGTTTGAGTGAAGTTGGCTTCATAATAATATATCATTATTATACAAAAAGACTTTGTGAGTACCAAATAATGCGCCAACTTTCTTCAAGGTGCGTGGCTTGACAACTACTACTTTATTGAGTTTTCTCGACAATAGAAGAGCATGTCTGTCTCACTCTGTGTCCTGTGGCTATAACAAGGCAATACGACAAAAGTTACCATTGTTTTGAAAGACTCAACAATAATCGAATTTGGCTTGATCGCTTTCAAAACTTCTTACTGAGGCAAAGTTTCATGATAATTGTGGTAGCATCGTGGTACGACGGCCTTCAACTCCAGTAGATGTTTATACTGGTTGGCAGTTATCTTCAATCTGTCTTTGCAGAAAGGTCCAGCAGTAACCGTCGTACACATGGTGTTCAGCTTTCTTGGTCCTTGCAGCGCCTTCCATCCATCATCAAAATTCAGCTTATACTGAATTGTAAAGACTGGAGTGTACTTTGATGCCTGCAAGTCAGTGATAGAAGGGTCGCCTGCTTTTCTCCCTGGACGGATTGTTTAGTGCTCTCCGACCTTTGCAAAATCTTTGAAAAAGCTGTGGTCCAGGTACATAACTTCATAGGGCCTGGGGATGCGTCTGGCTTTGAGCATGATGTTCACGTAGTCCATTGGGATGTACATCAGTGCGTTTTTTAGCGATCGCTCAATAGTGCCATGGACTGAATCCACTTCCATTTGGGTATGGCCCTTGGTGATAATTTCTGCTCAACTGTGATGTCAAGCTCTTTGGCCAGCGAGGCCCTTGCACTCACCAGGGTGGCTTTCTGTTTTAGTAGTTGCGCCAATCACTGCAGATGATGAAGTGGTTGAAGTCAGTCACTTGCAATATCAGTTAGTGAGTCAGACATGATGAAAACTGTTGAAGCCAAGACCAACTTCACTTTCATACCAGACATATCATCTGGCGTCTCTGGTGGCAAGATCCTAAGTCGTAACATTGTGTACAGCCAGTTTTGTATTATATAAGGTGGAAGTCTTTAGGGATGGGGCCAGAAGGACGCACTGGATCTCCATACAAAAGACACACACAGCCTTCCTGTCCTTCTCCTTCTCTGGTCTAGCTGCAGCTTTCCTCATATTCATATTTGAGCTGTGTGTTCTGTTTCTGTGAGGTTTCCAGATTTGAACTTTGTACAAATGTCGCACTGGTCTTTCTTGGCTGAAAGTAAACCCACATTGTTTTTCTTGAACTTTTGGCAGAACACTTGATAGCTCAATGTGGCTTTCACCCTCTCTGCAAAGTTCTCCATCTATACTTGATGCAGATCTGACGTTTTCTGGATTGTCATCTGTAGACAGCAGGATATCTTCGAAAGTTTGTCAAAAAATTCCTCTTTATGGAACAACTTGTCATCCTTGGCTCTCGCATGGTGGGCGTGATGTCTTCTAGGGGCTCTTGTTTGTTTGTTTTTTCGGAGAAGACACTTTAGATAAACCAGTGGGTCAGGCCTGTGGTGTTCTTGAAGATTGTTTTACAAACAGGTGTTCTTTGACCATTGACTCTTGTAAGTGGTATTGAAGGCTGTAATTTCTCCTTGGGTTTTCCCTTGCTGTGTAAGATCTCTTTTTGTCTATCCTGTTTATTGTGGCTATACGTAGGCTCTCTTTTCTTTCCAAGAGAGTGACCAGTGATGTCATTGCATTTTGTACAAACCAGTTTACAACTGCAAAGGACGTCAAGTTCACACCCTGCTCGCTTCGTGCCTTGACATGGGTAGAGACATCCCCAGTTCTTTCAAACTCTTCCTTTTGTTACCCTTCCAATCGTTTTCATGCCATGTCCTTTTCGCAGAGATCAAAGGTGACATAACTGTTGTATTATCAGCTGATGGGACATTAGACTGGTCACGTTGATCACTTTCCATTGCGCTGAGGGTAAGAGGTGACGCAGCAAGAGTGGCATCATCTTATTAAATGTTATAACGTTATGTAAGTTAAGGTTTGATATAAAGATAAAGCATTAGGCTATGACACTGAGAAAATAATCTACTCAAAACACAAACGAAATGAACTTTCAAAGAAAGTCGAAAGATGTTTCAGAAGGTAAGGACTGCAATAAACACAGCAAATAAAAAAAATTTAAAAAAAAGCGCTTTAAAAAACAACGATCGTTGGGGGCAGACGGTGTGCTGGACAGGTCCCACAATTATTATTTTTTTGAGTGAGTTAGTAAAGGAGGAAATGCTATCTACTTCGTCCATTCAATTGTGAAGGAAAAATGATTAGGAGAAGAGCCAGTAGTCCGAATAGGGGAAAATGCCTTCACAATCGGTGAATTTCGAGTACAAAGACAAAGAAAAACACGCGGACAGAAAACATAGTTTCATATTAAACAAAATCCATAAAGATGCATTTCAAATACCGGACTTGTCACGAGATGAACAGTTCTGTGGGTACAGTGGGGAGTTTTAGTCAGTAATAACATTATCAGCAGCATTTAAATGAAGAAAAAAGAGGAAACAACCAGATCTATATAACACCCCAATGAAACCAACAAGAAATATTACACAAATATTCCTTTTTGGAGAGCTCCCACGGTTATGTGAGCGAATTCTGGACTTTTACAGGTCTGAATCTGATGTCAAACGAAGTCCGGAGAGGAGTCAAAGCCGGGGTTAGTCGGTAACGTAGCAAGTGGCCCCTCATTGTTAGCGCGACAAAAACAGCCAACCCTCATTCCGTCCCTCTCAGGTGGGATAGTCGGAATTATCGGGCTAAAATTCGATGGGTGCCGGGTTATACGGTTTTATTTCTAATGTTTTAAAGACATTTCTAGACAAAATTCAGATCTGTCTTTGAGTGAGCATATGAAATGGACAATTTACTATCGATAGGGCCAATAAAAAGTTTTTTCATATTTTGTGGGTTAGACGGTTTTATCACCAGGCCGACGATATATTACTCTCATTAAAATTTAATATGAAAAGAGAAGTAAAGCTGACAAAATGTACATTCACATCAAATATCAAATGCATCATTCAACCACATGCAGGAGTTTAAAAACAAGACGTTTGGAGTTACATTTGTATATACAGATACATACTCTAAGAGCAACACACATCTATGCTCATTCTGACAAAAGCCTTATGCTAGATGGTAAAAAACTTCTTTTATATCTTTCTTTTTTGTTTTTGGATGTACATATCTGCCGCTGCGTGATCTTACAATTTGTGTGGAACCGGAAAGGGGGTGTGATGGGTCGTTTATAACGCTTGTTATCTTTTTTATACGTGTGGTGTTATACATTTCATCAATTCTATTAAAATCATATCCAGAGATCTTGCTGGCTTTCTTAATGGTTCTGTCAAATTTTTCTGTATCTTTCACCTTACAATTCCCACCCCAGCAGCAAATACAGAGTAATAACACACTTTCAATCATAGAATGGTAAAAAGGGGACATAATCTTATTGTCAACACAGAAATTTCTTAATTTTCTAAAAAGAAACATTTTTTGATTTACTTTTTTATACACAAGAGCAGCGTGGGGATGCCAGTCAAGTTTGTGGTCGATTGTTACACCAAGGTACTTGTAAGAGCTTACCACCTCCACCTCCACCTCCTCATCTTTTATAAATAGTGGTTGCAATTGGTCTTTTTTTACTCTAAAGTCTAATATTAATTCCTTTGTCTTTTTTACGTTTAGTATAAGGAAGTGGTTATCACAGCAGTTTGTACATAGATTCACAGCGTCCCTGTATTCATTCTCATTTGTTGTTATAAGGCCTTGTAGAGTGGAATCATCCGCACATTTTATTAGTTTGGTGTTTTTGTTGTCAAAAGTACAGTCGTTGGTGTAGAGCGTGAACAAGACAGGGGAGATTACACGGCCTTGGGGCGCACCAGTGTTCGTGAATAGTAGGTAGGATTTTACACCATTTAATGTTACATATAGAGGACGATTGGTCAAGAAGTCAAGAATCCAAGCCAGAATGTTCTTGTTTATGTTCATGTTAATTCATTTTGAAACCATTATGTGCGGTTGGATTGTGTTGAATGCGGATGAAAAATCAGCCAAAAGTATCTTTCAGTAATTTCTTGGTGTGTCTATGTGTTTGTAGATGTTATCTAAGAACACGAGAATGGCATCCTCCACGCCCCTCTTGGCACGATAGACAAATTGCATGTTGTCCTGTGTGTCTTCTGTTGATTTCC